GTTTCCTTGGAGCACCTGGGTGATTCAATCTGTTAAGCATCCGACTTTGGCTCAGGTCATGATCTCACAGTCTGTGAGTTCGAGCCCCGTGTTGGACTCTGTGCTGACAGCTCAGAGCCTGGAGCCTGCTTCAGATTCTCTGTCCACCCTGCCCCTCTGCCCCTCCCCTACTCGTGCTCTGTCTCACTCTGTCTCCCAAAAATAAATGTTAAAAAAAAGAAAAAAAAAAGAATTACAGATCCCTACCTCCACTACAGATGTCTGAAAAAGAATATTGGAGTGGGATCCAGGATCTTTTTCTTAAAAGCTGCCCAGGTGGTACTGACTGGATAATAAGTAACTCAGCAGCCCTGTATATTTTATCTACTGCCCTGGTATCTAGTTCTTCTTTAAAAGTAGAAGTTGCCCATTTTTCCATGTTAAATGGACTTATTTAACAGTAGCCCTCTCCTGTTTCTCAGTGCTCTTCCAGGCCTTACTTTCACCAATAAACAAACTCCCTTCCTTCGTGGTTTATGCTCTTTGGCGACTCCCTCCCTCCCATGTTCCCATCTTTCTACTAACTACCCACAGGACATCAAAGACTGTAGCATCTATTTCAGTTTCCCTCTCTCAGAGCTAATATTGCCATTGTACTGGGTGTGTTGTATATGCATATCTGTCTTATATATAAGTATTCAGCTTAATAAATGTTCACAAAGTATCAGTACCCCCAGACCTTCCCATGCCTCCTAAAATTGCTTACTACCCTCCTCTCCAAAAGTAACCTCCATCCTATGGTTAAAACCATAGATTACTTTTGCCTGTTTTTAAATTTTATATGAATGAAATGATAATGTGCTCTAACATCCTGCTTCTTTGTTCAACATTATATTCAAGAGATTCATCTATATTGTTATATGTAGCAGTTTATTCATTTTCATTATTGCTGTGTGGCATCTCAGTATATGAATATACCCCAATTTCTTTCTTTATTCTATTTGGAAAGAATCTGGGTTGCTTCTAGTTTTTAGCTGCTAAGAATAAAGCTACTAAAATTCTAAATACATAAACTGCTTTTGAAGGTCACATGAAGAAAATATAAAATACCTCATAAAAAAGCAAATCAATCAGTGACAGGTTCCCCCACCTCCTGAGCCAACCCCCTACTAAAATGTCACACTAAAAATAAATAAATAAAATAAAATAAAACAAAATAAAATGTCACACTGATCTAAGTTCTTGATTTTATCATAGTGCCTGTGTGCAGCAGCATGACATTCAAGGTCTTATACAGTCTAGTCTTAAACCAGCTTATTCACATCTTTTACTGTTATAAATTATGTTTATTTTTCTTCTTAAATTTTTTTAATGTTTATTTATTTTTGAGAGAGAGACAGACAGAGCACGAGCAGGGGAGGGGTAGAGAGAAGGAGGGAGACACAGAATTCGAAGCAGGCTCCAGATTCTAAGCTGACAGCACACAGCCTAATACGGGGCTCAAACCCACAAATGAGATCATGACCTGAGCCGAAGTTGGACACTCAACCAAATGAGCCACCTAGGCGCCCCGTAAATTATGCTTATTTTTCTTAATTAAAACACATACATGCATACATACACACACACACACACACACACACACACACACAATGACAACACCTAAAAAAGAATGATGCTGCTCTAAATACTCTTCTAAAAATCTACTGGCAAGCCCTGGCTCATACAAAGGAATGTGTATGTTCATCTTTAAAACATATTGCCTAACACGTTTCCAAAGTAGTGCTACCAATTTTCATTCCTACTGACAAGGTATGAGAGTTTCCACCTCTCTACATGCCTTCAATACTTAGTATTGCCAGTTTAAAAAATATTATCATATATTAGTTGCTACAGTGGGCGTGCCAACAGTTATCTTATTGATTTTTACTTCACACTTCCTGAAAAAAATAAAGAAAAATGAAGAGTCTCAGAGATCTGTGGGATCTCATCAAATGTACCAACATACATACAATGGGGGTAACACAAGAGCAAAGAGAAAGAATGTTCAAAGAAATATGGCTGAAAACTTCCAACATGATGAAAAATATTAGTCTATCACATTCAAGGAGCTTAGCTCAACAAACTCCATTTGGATAAATACCC